TATACAATTTTAGAGTGTGTGTCATTACTTCTGGCTCACCCTGTATAGGAAAAAAGCTTGCAAGGCATATGAAATGCCTTGGAATATTTCTGGGAAAATGTGTTGCATTGCATGGTATAATTTTGAAAATTTGCAGGTTCGTGAGGATTCACAAGTCTAAGGAAAGGCTGCCATCAAGTCAGTATTCATATGGCAGCCTCAATAGGCCCACTTTGCCATTAACTGAATAAGGATACCTAATGATTTATGTAGACTATGTTTATCATTACTTTATTTTACTTGCTAAGGATTATTGGCGAAGGTAATGCAAGATAAGTCAGATCCTCTAGTTTTAATCAAAAAGAGCTGATACAAACATTAGACCAAGTCTCACAAGAGGAGAGAAGGAATAGGTGGGAACATCATGTCTCCATACTTTTGGTGAGAGGGTTTGGCTACCTTTGTAATGTACAAAAATATGTTTTGTAAATATAGGCTACACTTGATATAGTATCACTATCAGTCAATGCCTTTTTTGACTATGATTTTGGTGGTGCTATATAAAATGAACCACAATATGCTAGTGGCTACAATAGCAAAACCTCTGAAGGACTAATGGACTAAATGGATGTGAAGCCTATATTGTCACCCTTTGCCCCCTCCAATATTCTACAGTATTTATATGCACAATCCATGTGTATGAGAAACAGATCATTGCATGGTCTGGTGAATATTCACTAACAAATGCCTTAGATGTGTATATATTGAATGAGGCTGTGATTGGTATGCTACTTGGTGGAAATCTATAAGGATTTGTATTTAACACTTTGACCAGCAAGTTTTGCAGATGTCTGTTATATAGAAGCCTGTAAAATTTATGGGCATGCTGGTCAAAGGGTTAAGAAGGCATTTTTATATAAGTAATGGCGTGGGCTGGTGGCAACTTGGGAGGGTGGCACTATAATAAAGGATTGCCAATTATAAGTTTAATCTTGGGGTGTATTTGTTTGTAGGAAGGAGTTGGCAGTGAGTGAGGGTTAAGTGTATTAAGCGTGTCATATCCAGGCACTTGTTTTATGATCCTAAAAAGAAGCAGCTGACTGGCCATCATTTACTGTTTGGAATAAAATTGCCTTTTATAGAACCTGTATGGGCTGGGGCTTCCCTGCAAAAGGGAGGTTATTCCAGCTCGTTACTGTTCTTGGAAAAGAGTTATACAGGGTGGCCCAAAATTACTTCACAAAAGAGCCCTTTTTTTGGGTTCTTAAAAAAAGTATTTTCTTTTTCATTGCAGGTTCATTGTGGATTAAAAATGATTGCAGAGTGGCAGTGATTCTCATCAACTATTCAGAGAAGCACATTTGCATCATACAATTGATATACAAATATGAGTTGGGCTTTAAGTTTGAGCACTTCATCAGCCCTTGAACTGAGAAATGATGTTCATCTCTGCTGAAATCCAAAATTGGGATTTTCTTGTTCCTTCTGATACAAGGTGTTTGTTAGCTTCTGTTGTAGCAGTTCTACATCAATCAGCTCCAAGTGCATGAAGAACAGAGCCTGTGGTTTCAAATTGATATTTTATTAATTTTTATTGTCTTCAGTCTTGGAGGTGATTCATTCTACTGTTGGGAGCACCTGTGGTACACCTCCAAAACAATGTCATATTCATAAATCAGTTTGATTATGCATGCACACACTCACTTCTCTGAGCTTAGTTGATAAGAACCACTGCCACTCTCAGCTATAATCTTTCATCTTCAATGAAACTGAAAAGAAAAAAGCAAATACCTTTTTTAAGAACCCAAAAAGAAAAAGGGAGTCTTTTTGCTAGGTAATTTTGGGTCACCCTACATTTGTAAGGGACCATTCTTATGGGGATGCAGGAGAGAGTTTGAAGGCTTTAGCCGGTTTTGCTTGTGTTAGTCAGCAAGCAGTCTCTATAGTGAAGGTTAGATTTCTTATCAACTCTTTTACATAGGTAAGATACTTCTAATGATGGAAAGACTAGGTCTTACCAAGAGTGACTAGGCAATGGTCTAAGCTTCAGTAGAGGCTTTCCATAGGTTTTGTTTTAACTGCTGCTGAAACAGGATTATTTTTTCATCCCAGTGGAGGTTCTTATTGATTGCGATCTGTAAATATTCAATGGGATGCACAGATTTCAGAAGATTACCCCTCTGTGTATTGTTACATGAATGAGAATCATATTTTCAGGTGCTGAAGACTTTACATTTACATGGTTTAAAGTTCCACAGTAATTCCTAGAGTCGTTGATGAACCATATAAGGCCTAGCTACATTCATAAGTAATTTTCCATGCAATGAATTTCCCTCATGCAATCCAACAAGCTGCAAATACTCTTGCATGGAAGCCTATGCTTGATGCTATGCCATTGACAAATATAAAATTCATAACATAATTCAGAGACCTAAGTAAGTATTAAGCCAAATTTAGACCCCTAGTACTTCATATTTGACTGAATTTCTAACAGGAGTGGCCAGATACAGTTTTTGCAGCTGCCATGAATTTCCAAGTTCAACTGAGGAAGCTTGTACCAAAGGTATTATGCTGATCTCCTCAATCTGTTGATCATTTTGCAGGCAAGTAGGCAGTTGCATGATTAGAATGTGCTCAGGATGACACCAAAAAGGTTTAAATTGGCTCATTGAACTTGTATGCTGATCTCACAAGGGTTAATCCTGTCCAAGAAATAACTCCCCTCTCTCTGGGCATTATCCTTCTGGATTAGTTATATCTTTTCTCCTGGATTGCTCCTTATACCATTCTGCCACTAAAGCAAATTTATATAATCAGAAAGCTAACTTTATCTGACTTTCAATCATTATAGTGATTTTTTGAATAATAAAATCATTTAAGTGTTGAGTTGAGCCATGATTTTGATCAGCTATGTTCTAGGATTAATCTAACTTAATCCAATTGCATTTTTTACACCTAATTTCAATTGCACACAACTTGAATTTCTCTTCTGTAACTACACTCAGATACTTTTATTTTTTTTTCCCATTGCTTTTAAAAATGCTACTGCTTATATACATAATTTCTGTAGCAATCAGAAACCACTTGCACTCAATAAAGCTGCAGGGCTGTCATGATCACAGTTTTGGAAGTATCACTGCATCAACAAAATATGTAATTGATAGTTGATAAGTATTTGGCAGAAGTAGGAAGAGAAATATATAAAAGAAGATGACATCAGGCCCATTGGCTGTTATGTGATATGCTGGAGACTAATTGAGGAGTTCTCTAGGAAAAGGGTGTATGTGCAAAAGATGCAATTTGAGATAAACTATAAAAACTTCCCATGGCTAATCTGAAGCTGGTTAAAACCTAATTATTAGTAAAATGGTATCTTAGACCTTTTCCCAGTTGAACTTGGGGTTTTAATGAATTTCTTTATCTCACATTGCTGGGATGCAGGCAGAAAGTGTTTATGTACATTTTCACTTTTGGTGTAAAAAGACTAAATAATTTCACCAAAATTGTTCAGCATGCAAATGATAATGGAATATTCATGGTGGCAGCCATACTGAAATTGCCAAGCAGTTGGCCTGCTATTTAGTGAGGGCATAGGAAAATCTGCCTCTCCTTTGCTGAATACACATCTTAACTACTAGCTGACCACTCTATCCTATGACTATTCACCTAAAGCAGCACATGGACATGGATGTGGAAAAAGGGTGTATGGACACATATGCCCCTTTTCCGGAGAACTCCTCAATAAATGCTGGTAGATTGGCGAGTAAAGAAAAGTCTGACCTTTTAGGAAAGGCTTCCTGCCTCTTTTCACTGGTGTGGGTGTGCTTCCTGCTATTTTTCCTCACTCTCACTCTTCAGGCTTTGTGGCATCCTATCATCACTTATTCATTATATATGTATCAGCAAATTTTGATTCTGACTCTTCATTTCTCTGTGCTGATGCATTGTGTTACCACAGCCTGTTTATGGTTACACTAATTTATTAATATATTATGACAACCCAATTAATTTCCTAGAGGAAAAACAAAGTCTCTTTTTGTTTATTATCCACTTTTTCCAATCATATCCACTTCAAGAGATTTGACTGAGATAGCAGAGATGTTCTTTCACTACTTTTGTGCTTTACTTACATCTCCTTGCATTTGATAAAATGTTTCACATACTGTATTTATATAATATATTATGTTTCTCTTTTCATAAGTCTTCAAATTCCGAATTGTAGATATCATATTTCAGGGAGAAATCTACACTACTTATTTGATGTGCAAGAAGAAGGATATCAGTACTGAATGAATTTTAGTTGATAATCAAGTCAACTGGAATTCCTTGAGAAACTCGCAAGAGCATAATTTGAATCCTTTGTATTTCTTACAGGCATTGTGCAGGCAAATATTGTGCATCCTATCTGAGTCCTATTCTGCATTTCTGTACATTTTACACCAATTTACAAGTGTTTTTCTTTTATGAGAATATTTTGCCTTTAAGTATGATGCTTGAAATTCATCCAATTCATCTTGGCCACTTTCACTCCAAGTAGATTGAGACCCTTCAAATTTTTATTGAAATTTGGATAACTAAAGATCATAACCAATGTTGATCAGAATATACCAATTGTGTACTAGTTTGTCATTAGGAGTATCAATTAAGCAGCCATAATTCATGATGAAAATTACTTCAAAGAGGCACAAAACCACTTTCACTAAATATAATTTCAAGGAGTGAAGAGGTGGGCAGTGCCTCCTTTCAGGTTAACACTAACCCATTCATTAGTAATAGCTCATTCATAATATGCCTGCATAAATTGTGATGGTTTTTCAAGTGCACATATTAAACCTGAAGGGGCCTTGTGGGGATGTCCTTACAACCCATTGTTCCCTTACTTGCTGCATTTGCAATCTTTATAACTTCTCTCAGAGCAGCATTTGGAGACTGAATTAATTTTTAAAATGAATGCACTCTTTTGCTGCCATTCAGTTCAGTTAAGGTAGTTTTCTGTTTTCTGATTTTTTATTTTTATTCAGCTTCCAGCCCAAGGGAAGGCCATCCTGATTTCTGGTTGTGACTCTGGATTTGGATTGGGGTTTGCAAAACATCTCACAGATAAGGTTATTTACCACTTCATTTGATATAGGACCCATGATGGTAGCCTATTTTAATTCATGAGATGGTATTGATGAAAGAGATGAAATTCATTCCCAAAGCTAAATCTGTTTTTTTTTCCTTTTTCTTACAGGGTTGTGAAGTCTTTGCTGGGTGTCTTATGAAGGACAAGAATGGTGAAGGATCTGAGGAGTTATTATCATTGAAAAAACCAAACCTTCATGTTATTCAACTAGATGTAACATCCTCAGAACAGACAAGCAAGAGCATGAAGGAAATTGAAGGCATTCTCAATGCCAAAAAATTGAGTATGTACATAAATGGTGGTAATTTCCAGTCTTAGTCCATTTCCTACAGGTGAATTTTGCACTTTAATCAAGCCTATTTGTTGCAAGGAAGGAAAAACCATGGAAGTATTCTCATTATAATTTATTCTTACTTCATTCATTCATTCATTCTGTCCTATGTGACATATTTTTTTGGTTCCATTTACTTATCATTCCAATGCAAAGCAACAAATCTTTGTCAAGATGACAATGAAATATGAATTACAGTCATGCTCTAAGATTTTGGCATTTTACATATAAACTTGAATGGCACAAGTTTGAGTTTGTTTGCTGAATGTATGGGTAAATATCAGATTTAGGATTTTGTACCTTGCACCTCTCCTGCCTATGTTCTTGACCCCCATTCACTTCACCATTTCCTTATCCCCATAACTCATATTTATGTGCTCATGGCAATTGGAATCTAATATTGAGATTTGAGGGCTTCCTTTCTGGAAAATTTTAAAATGCTATGAGCCTTTGACATTTATGATTGCAAGGAAGATTTTGTGATTAATTTTGGCATTGTTGTATTGATTCAGGTTGGCAGATTAATTCCAAGTAGTCAAGGTAGAAAATCATTCCCCATGCTAGATAGAACACCCTACAAGGTCTTGCATAACCTTTTGCTAGGGGGGTACAACCTTAAGTACAAATAAAACTATTGTAAGTAAAATATCAATTTAATCCTTTATTCAACCTGAGTGCAGTAATGCATCTGTATTGGCTTCATGTACAGCCCTCAAACATTGAGGGTATAATTTCAGCAAATTTTCAGAAAGGAATGCAGTCTGTCACACATTGCCTTTCATCATCACAAATGACCCCAGCCATTTTAATTTTCCATGACTAATCTGAAATCAGAACAAAATTAGCTTTTAAAATATGTATAACACTCATTTTTTTGATACTCCATAATTATCCCTAGCAAAAGGTTATGCAAGGCCCTGTACATCTGAGAACCATCTTAAGTGGGTGACCCATTTTTCTCTCCCAATCTATGTGATTATATACCTGCATATGATATATATGATATAGATTCAATCTACAGGGTAAGTCTTAAGTCTGGAAACAGGGAAATGTGATTTTATTAACATTTTATATTTATAAAAATTTATATTTTAATATATATAGACGATTGTGACTGACTGACTGACTGACGCTAATTCTAACCATGTTCCTGAAAGGTTAGAAATCTGAAACTTGGTACACAGGTACCTTTTGGGTTGCAGAGTTCAGAAAAAATCCGACTTGGAGGTATATGCCCTGGGGGTATACATTTCGGGGGGAAAAGTTTTCTTTAAATATATATATTGATGGATAAGGTTGCAATCAAGAGATAACGATTCAGTGGTGTAGTGGTAAGGCATCGGACAAAATATAATGAGACCCGGGTTCAATTAATTCCGGTTATTCCAATACTTTCTTTTTTTTTGCTTCTCTTGCTCTCCAATGTCCCGTTGCTTGAATAAAACGGAGAGAAGTGGAAAGCAAAAACGTGGCATGGACGTGCCTAACGAAACAATGAATTCAGGAAAAATGCAACACATTAGATCCATGCCCTGGGGGCATATTCTTGGGGGCTGACGTTTTCAAGTATTTTTTTTTCCTGGTGTATTGAGCTAGTGTGAAACATGAAACTTGGTACATAATTACCTACCGGGATGCTGCATGCAGAGAAATTCACCTTTTTTAATGAAATGCCCTGGGGGCATGAATTTCAAGGGGATGTGTTTTCACATAATTGTCGTGGTGAATTGGACAGTAATGGAAGGGTGAAACTTGGCACACGTATAATTGCTATGGAATTATTGAGTTGAGTATTCAGCTTTCATGGTTCATCCCCTCCTGGCTTAGCTTTTGGGTGCGTCAGCTTTTCCAAACATGATTTTTAACCAGCGAAAAATGCGAACGTAAAATATTGATACTTTGTGGGCATGTAGTTCACTGAGGTTTGATTCACGTTAAAATGGTAATTTTCGGTTAAAACGCCCGAGGGCACATATTTTGCAAATTTTTTTTAATTATCTGATCCAGCAAAACGGAGGGTGCTAGAAGGTTTAAACTTGGCAAAGAAGTACCTGATAAATAGATGAAGAAACAAACAAATATATTTTCATATTATATATAGATGATCGTGAGTAGCTGACTGACTGACATAAGAACCTATTCACATAATGAGTTCAGGAAAAATTCCACTTTAGTGATACACGCCATAGGGGCACACCTTTTCAGGGAACATATTTTCAAATAGTTCTCTTTGCTTCAAACAAACGAAGACCCAGGGAAAGCTGTACATTGCAAGAACGTGACTGGTGAAGCACTCCGCTCAAATGACAAATGTCAAATTTACAAAATATTTTGGGGGACGTATAAGTGACATGATATTAATGGCCTGAGGGAGTATTCAGCTTTAATGGGGCATCCCCTCCGGCCATAGCTTTTGGGTGGGTCCCTATTCCAAATACATTTTTTTTCCGCCAGCAAAAAGGGGAAACGTATGAGGCTGAAACTGGGTGCCATGGGAATCCCTGAGTCTACATTTCAAAAGAAAAAAAAAATTCCATAAAAATCCCAATAGGGCACTTTTTCAGTCCCATTTTCCTGATTTTTTTTTCATCCAACGAAACAGAGACATAAAATTATACTTCCCTCAGAAGTACCCATTACGAAAATGTCTTATAGGATTCCTATATATTCCTAAAGGAATATATAGGAATCCTATAGGAACCGAAAGGAATCCTATAGGATCCTATATGCCCTATAGAGTTCAGTTTGGGACCTATAGAGTTCCCTATAGAACCTATAGAGTCCCCTATTGAACCTATAGAGTTCCCTATAGAACCTATTGATCCCCCTATAGAACCTATAGGCTTCCCCATAAGGCCTATAGGTTCCCTATAGGACCCAAAGGGTTCTGTATAGGACCCGTAGGGTTCCCTATAAAACCTATAGGGTTCCCTATAGGAACTGTAGGGTTCGCTATAGGACCTATAGGATTCTCTATAGGACCTATAGGATTCTCTATAGGACCTATAGGGTTCCCTATAGGACCTATAGGACTTATAGGGTTCCCTATAAGGCTTATACGGAACCCTATAGGCCTATAGGGTTCCGTTTGAAGTTCTCCCCTAGGCCACTAGATGGAAGTATTGGGTTCTCACATTTCTCAAAGGGCACAAAAGTGCCCTCCNTGGCATTGTTGTATTGATTCAGGTTGGCAGATTAATTCCAAGTAGTCAAGGTAGAAAATCATTCCCCATGCTAGATAGAACACCCTACAAGGTCTTGCATAACCTTTTGCTAGGGGGGTACAACCTTAAGTACAAATAAAACTATTGTAAGTAAAATATCAATTTAATCCTTTATTCAACCTGAGTGCAGTAATGCATCTGTATTGGCTTCATGTACAGCCCTCAAACATTGAGGGTATAATTTCAGCAAATTTTCAGAAAGGAATGCAGTCTGTCACACATTGCCTTTCATCATCACAAATGACCCCAGCCATTTTAATTTTCCATGACTAATCTGAAATCAGAACAAAATTAGCTTTTAAAATATGTATAACACTCATTTTTTTGATACTCCATAATTATCCCTAGCAAAAGGTTATGCAAGGCCCTGTACATCTGAGAACCATCTTAAGTGGGTGACCCATTTTTCTCTCCCAATCTATGTGATTATATACCTGCATATGATATATATGATATAGATTCAATCTACAGGGTAAGTCTTAAGTCTGGAAACAGGGAAATGTGATTTTATTAACATTTTATATTTATAAAAATTTATATTTTAATATATATAGACGATTGTGACTGACTGACTGACTGACGCTAATTCTAACCATGTCATAGAAGTGTTAGAAATCTGAAACTTGGTAAACATGTACCTTTTGGGATGTAGAGTTTAGAAAAAATCCCACTTTGGAGGTACATGCCCTGGGGGTATACATTTTGGTGGGAAACCTTTTTCTTAAATATATATTGTGACAGATGAGGATGGCATTCAGAGAGTCAACTGGATGTGTTGGGTTCGGTGGTGTAGTAGTAACATCTTTGACTGACAATTAGAAGGTCTGGGTTCAATTCCCGGCCATTCCTTGGCTTTTTTTGCCTTCCATGTCCCGTTCCCCCACCATAACATTATTTTTGCTTGAGTAAAACGGAGAGACATGGAAAGCTGAAACTTGGCATAGACGTGCCTACCGAGATGATGAGTTCAGCATAGATCTAAAATTTTGCATTTTTCCTGAACTCATTGTCTTGGTAGGCACGTCATGCCAAGTTTCAGCTTTCCATGTCTTTCTGTTTTACTCAAGCAAAAATAATGTTTTGGGGGGAAACGTTTTTCTTAAGTATATTTTGTGACAGATGAGGATGGCATTCAGAGAGCCAACTGAATGTGTTGGGTTCGGTGGTGTAGTAGTAGCATTTCTAACTGGAAATCAGAAGGTCCAGGTTCAATTCCCGGACATTACTTGGCTCTCTTTTGGCTTTTTTTGCCTTCCATGTCCCGTTAATCATTCCCCCTCCATAACATTATTTTTGCTTGAGTAAAACAGAAAGACATGGAAAGCTGAAACTTGGCATGACGTGCCTACCAAGACAATGAGTTCAGGAAAAATGCAAAATTTTAGATCTATGCCCTGGGGGCATATTTTTGTGAGCCGACGTTTTCCATTATTTTTTTTGTCCAGGTGTATTGAGCTGGTGAGGAAAGATGAAACCTGGTACATAACTACCTAATGGGATGCTGCAGAAAACTTCAGACTTTAGAAGTATATGCCCTGGGGGCACAAATTTCAAAGGGAGATGTTTTCAACTAATTTTTTTGCATTAGTTAAACTGATGAACATGGAAGGCTGAAACTTTGCATGAATGTGACTAAACCTATTGGGATGCTGCAGAAAACTTCAGACTTTAGAAGTAAATGCCCTGGGGGCACAAATTTGAAAGGGAGATGTTTTCAACTAATTTTTTTGCATCAGTTAAACTGATGAACATGGAAAGCTGAAGCTTTGCATGAATGTGACTACTGAGAAAAAGAGTTAAATAAAAATGTTATGTCTCGATACATCCCCTGGGGGAATTTTTTTGAGGGCCGATGTTTTGAAGAAAAAATTGTTGTGGTGAATTGGATAGAAATGGAAAGGTGAAACTTGGCACATGTATAAGTGGCTTGATATTACTGAGCTGAGGGAGTATTCAGCCTTCATGGGGCATCCCCTCCTGGCATAGCTTTTGGGTGGGTCGGCTTTTCCAAACATGTTTTTTCACCAGCGAAAGGGCAAACGTATAATATTGAAACTTTGTGGGCATGTAGTTCACCGGGCAGACAAAGAAAAGTATCTGGCGCACGCATCACTGACATGATGTTGATTAAAGGAAAAATTAAACTTTTTTTTACATCTCCTCAGAGATCAGCTTTTTGGTGGGTCGCTTTTCCAAATACATATTTTCCACCAGCAAAAAGGGCAAACATATAAGGCTGAAACTGGGTGGCATGGAGTTACATTTCAAAAGAAAAAATTATTTCATTAAAACCCATTTGGGCACTTTTTTCAGTCCCATTTTCCTGATTTTTTTCTTGATCCAACAAAACAGAGACAGAAAATTTAAACTTCCCTCAGAAGTACCTTTTTTATGGCTGAGTAGAGAAAAAATCCTAATTTTGAAATATGTCTCCTTAGTGTAGATTATTGGAGGGAAGTATTTCAAAATGTATTCTCCACCCTTACAAAAAGGGACACAAGAAAAGANATCATGTCAGTGATGCGTGCGCCAGATACTTTTCTTTGTCTGCCCGGTGAACTACATGCCCACAAAGTTTCAAGTTAGGCACACATAGAATCATAGAGGTAATGATTTTGATAAAACTCAAGACTTTCAACCCCATATGTCACATATTTCAATACTTTAAATACATGTTTCCCATTTCGCAAAAAATTAATGAATTAATCACTGTCCAAGGTAGTAGAGCACCGAAGGCACAACCATAGCTAGTACAAAATATGCTTAATAAGATGTCCCTCTGCCTCAATGCATTTATTGAGTCACTTCATCCATTCATTAGAACACTGAAATGAAATCTGTGAACAAAAAAAAACAGTTGATAAAATCACATTTGCCTATGTTTCCAGACTCATGACTCACCCTTTATATGATCATATCACCCGATAATACAGGGTGTCCCAGAGTGAACCCCCCAACAACTGACCCAAGTGTAACATAAGAAACAAAACTGTTTATATGAACTGTTTATTAAAACACTAGAAATAACTGTCAGAAACAGTAACAGTCATCAAACTTAATGCATTGAGTCCCAGATGCATAAACACTATTCAACTACTGGAGCCTGGCTATTTTCCAGAGAAACTAAAGTAGTTATTTAGGAAAAAATTGATATTTACATAACTGATCAACATATCAGTGTTATTCCAAAGCCAATTTGTTCAGGAATGTTCAGTGAATCAACTTATATTGCCAGTGGTATACATATATTGATATAAAAAGTACTTGAATACAGGTCTGTGTCAAAACATAATATTATGGGTCTGGGCTGCTGGGCATGACTTTGTAACACGTAATATTATGGTTCCTGGGCTTAATGTGTTAACATGAAGCCTATTGTTCAAACTGTTCACTATTGTTTTGCTGGCGAACTTGTTATTGCTTGACTACTAAGAAGTAGACCTTCATGCATAAATCTAATTGACATTAAAGCAGTTGGAGTAGGGGGGGGGGGTTTGTTCTGGGCCACCCTGTATTTCCTCAAAACATTATGCAAGTGAACATGATAGTATAGAAGAAGTCTCCAACTTTTATTGCTCCTAGATTACTACTGTCTGCATATGAAGAGCTGAAAGGAAAAGTGATCTATTCTCATAAAATGTTTGTAAAAAGGATAGCTGGTATGCTCATAGAATCTTTACTATTTAATTGAAAATGTTAATTTTTGGGAATGTGAAAGAAAACTGGTCTATCTATCCATGTCACTTTTTCTCTGTTTTAAGAAGACAGCCTCTGATAAATTTACTCTTTGTGTGTGAAACTAGAGGAAATAATTTTTTTGCAGGTAGCCACTTTTCTCCTCAGCCCTTCATATGCTAACATAGTGGTATGAAATGCATAAGCAAACTCATGATCCAACACAATTGACAGTAAAGGTTGATCTCAGCATTTTTATAATTATTTCTACAGATCTCTGGGGTGTGGTGAATAATGCAGGGATTGGCACTTATGGTGAAGTTGAGTGGATACCCATCAATGTTTATGAGAAAATTGCCTCCGTAAACATTTGGGGCATGATTCGTCTGACCCAAGCTTGCTTGCCTCATCTGAGAAGATCTAAAGGTATGGTATATGTTTGGCTAGTGTTCATTTTAGTCTTCTGTTCTGATTTCAGGTAGGAATTTGCTAAATCACCAATTTCCTTTTTCCCAGTTCCACATGCATTCACTCAGTTGAGGAATTTCAGGACATGAATTGGTAGACCAAAATCAGCATATGATTGACAAGATTTTGTTCATATGGAGGCTGTCAGGCACATCATTGAATGCTCATCTACAAGGTAGTTTCAAAAAGTTTCTGTACTGATTTTATTTCAGCATTTCACAGACACTTAGAACAATTATACACAATTTCCTTCAAAAACTGCCCTTGGGCAACAACACACTTCTGCCAGCGTCGATACAGTTCCTCTAAACATTTCTGGAAACCTCCACGTGCCACCTCCTTCAACGATGTCTCCGAAATTGCCTTAATCTCCTCTGCATCTTTGAAGTGGCGGCCCCAATCGGTCTTTCAAGCGTGGGGGGTAAAGAAGAGGTAAAAATCACAAGGCACAAGATCAGGCGAGTGCGGAGGGTGAGGAAGCACCACAGTTCCACGTTTGGCAAGATGTTGCACAAGAAGTGACCGATGCACAGGAGCATTGTCATGGTGTAGCACCCAGTTATTGGTCGCCCACAGTTCAGGACGCTTCAAATGAATTGCCTCTCACAGGTGGACTTGCACCTCCAGGTACCTGTACTGGTTGACTGTAGCATCTGGCAGAATGAACTCATGATGAACAATGCCTTGCCAGTCGAAAAACACTTCCAACATCACCTTCCCTTTGGGGCGATCTTGCTAGAACTTCTTGCATTTCGACAATGATGGCAACTTCCACGTTGACAATTGTCGTTTTGTCTGGGGGTCAAACAAGAAACACCATGTCTTGTCACCCAGCGCTACTATAAGCTGAGTCTGGAAACTTTTTGAAGGTACCTTGTATGATGGATATGCTTGTACAGGGTGGCCCAGAAAAAAGGTTACTGAAATGTGATATCTTATGTATTTCATTTTTTACAGGTAATCTAGAAAGCATATATCCTAGTGAATAGTGAAAAAAAGTATTTGACTCAGCAAACATTATTTCAAAAGTTATGAAGGTGGAAATGGTGGACCAATCAATATAGCTGTTTTCACTGTTTTACATGACTTGCTCCATAAACATTCTCTTGCAAAGGCCTTTCGGTTGATTCTGAAGTTTGAGACATTGGTATAGTTGTCAATACCAAAATTGGGCATTCTGGCAAAACTCATTCAGTCCCAATAAATGAAAACTTGGGAATTGTGCTGAACATCTGAAGTCCTATTGTCAATGACCATGAATATCCAAAAGAAAGGAGCTGTTTTTAAAGCTTTATGGTGGACATTGTCAAAATGTTATCAGTCAGCAAATATATTGATTTAAAGTCCTAGAATGATTTAAAAGAATGGTCCCACATATGATATGCACAGTTCTGCAAATATAAAACATGATGCAGCATAAAATATTTAACAAAGCAAGTGGCTTCATTTTAGATGTTTTGGCCACCTTTTTTTTGAGCCACTCTGTACTTCAAATATTTTGCACTTAAATTCTTATATAGATGAATGCTAGATGAATGTCCTCAGATAATCATATATATTTCATTGTATGCTTCACATGAAGCTTTTATGCATCCAAAGTAGAATGAAAAGTTATTGTTTTGGAAATCTAGCAAACCCTACAATGTTATTTACCATGACCTACAAAATGCTTTCAGGCAGTTGATCAAAGACTTGGCAGTTTTATATTTTCTACTACAGGATGTCTTTTAAAAGTATAACCAAGTTTTTATGGCCTAAAGTGTCATAGCCTTGTAGGCTTATTCATGCATTTGACCTACAAGGCTATATTGACATCCTACATATACATCCTTCTATTAGTATCGTCAGATCTAGTAGGGTGGGTGCTGCGAATGTTGGCACAAATTCTTCACTTCCCACCTTGCAAGCTGATTTTCATAATGGAGCTTCCTCATCCATATTGGGTCTGGTGATACCTTCATTACAAATCTTCTTGTACCACAAACCTTGAGTGCCCCAGGCCTTTCATTTCCAAAGTGAAAGGTCAAAGGTGAAGTTGAGTCAAATGTTGATAATCTCGGCACACTTGCTGATATAGATGGCACCACCCTGTTGGGAATCTTGACACAATTGTGTATCACTGTCTTTTACAACGGACTCAGAAATGAAAGCAACAACCTAATAAAACAATACCTAGTATGGAAGAGAAGAATGGAATGTGCAAAAGCTTAGCAAAATCACAAGATTTTGTAGGATTTTTGGAGTGCACTTAGAGAAAGTGGCCACTGCGAGAAAACTACACCAGCAAATATGGATGTTCCAGCACATGTTTACCACGTTAGTCCTACCATCTGAGAATACTTACCCATGCCTAGGGGACTAGTAGTGGAAGCAGAATTTCGATGATTGCAAAGTGCCAAGATTACCCCCAGTGCCAACATTTGCAGCACTAACCCTATTCTGCAACAGTTAAGTCAGGACCAATTGAATGGCCTCCACAACAACTGTTGGTGAGTATTGGTTCTAGAGATACATTGTGACACAAAAGTCACTTGACAAATTAGAAAAAACCCCTTTGCCTAAAATCTTTATTTCTGAACTATCAGAGATGCTCAAAGTGTTTTCCATGAACCACAATGCTGTTTAACATAGCCCCAAAGGAAGAAATCCAAGGGAGTGAGGTCAGGTGATCGAGGGGACCATGACACAGGTCCAGTCCACTGATTACCAAACAGGTTATTCAGTCAGGATAGCAGAGTCAAAACGGCCCAAAAGTTTAGACATAGTTTTTTTTTCTCATTTGTCAAGTGACTTTTGTGTCACACTGTATTTAATGGCAGTTGTTTATACAACTAAACCCAGAAGCATGAATCACTTACAGGTTTGCATCAATTAAAATTTGGCAATACCTATGGAAATGTTTCATTGTGCTTTCAGTGATTTTCCCAAGCAATGTCAAGAATGACTTGATGTATGAGGTGAACAGTTTGAAGGCATTTGAAAAAGATTCCATCCTGATGTTATTGCTGCAAATAAAGAATAGAGATGGAGATATGAACTGAAGCTTGTTTTATGGTTAATTTTAGTTCTAGAATCATGAGCAACCAAATTTGGAGTCTATACTGATGCACCATGTATTATGCCATTACCATGTTGATTTCCATAGGTAGAGTGGTGAATGTCAGCAGCATGCTGGGAAGGATGGGTTACCCAATGCGCTCTCCATATTGTATTACCAAGTTTGCTGTAGAAGCCTTTTCTGACTGCCTGAGATATGAAATGAAACCTTGGGGAGTTCATGTTGCTGCTATGGAACCTGGCAATTACATAGCTGGTGAGAATAGGATACTGACCAGTAATTATATCTTTAAATGGTCTGTTTTCTCCTTCATCTGGAAATATGTTCCTTGGAACATGTTTGTCATTTTCATTGTGCTATGGGTTCTTGTAAACTTTTTAGGGATGCTTAAAATTTACCTATCAGTCTTCAGTCCAGAGAACTTCAGTGACTCAGTACCATATTGGCCAGACAAGTGTCCTCTAGTTGATAGACCCTCAGTATATGAATAGGGGATAAGAGAAATTGCTTCCAGGACTTCACAAAAAAAGAATCATCTCAGTATGGTAGCACCTAATTATGGTCAAATTTTAAGTCAAACAAATGCAGTCTTGAAGAACTTCAAGCACAGCATCTCTTCCATGAGCCCAATTCATGTGTCGGAAGTTGATTGTTCTGAAAATTTTGTGACTGATACACAAAGCATTTTCCAATGGCTGTACTTTTAATCTTGTGGCTTCTCCTAAGTCCCTGAAGGTTGTAAGCCAAATTGCAAAAAGTTTTGCCTCATAGAAAAACTTGAGATAAATTTTATTGGACTGGAGTACTATCTTCTGGAAAGGTGATGGGAGAAACTCCAGTTCTGGGAAGTGAAGATCTGCCGGCCATAACCTTCTACAACCTCAATTAAGTTTTATATGCCAAGGACTACCATGATGAGATGGAAGCTGTGCTAGGAGACTGTGCTCATGCTTATAGCAGTCATTCAGTGGTGCTATGTTTTCAGGGGAGGGAGGATTAAGTTTTTTGTTTTATCAAGATGAAAATGGCCACCACCTCCATTTGAAAAACTGCTGCAACAGTCCCTGGCTGCTGTTTGAGTTGGAGCAGTGACAGCTGTTGTTAATAGGAACACATTTTATTTTCTGTATCAATGTTTTAAGATGTTGCTTCCCACAGATTTTTTTTTTAACAATGGTTTTGCCAGGAAATTCTTTCATCATTCTGGCTTCCCCTCCCTTTGAAACTCGCAAGATCTTGATCACCCCCTAGTCTTCATGTGAGTAGCTCAGCATTGCTTTGTTTTAGTAAAAATTCTGTGGAAAAAGGAAGAAAACACCGAGAGGCAAAGCACGGGAAGATGATATAAGTCCAGAGAGAAGACTAAGTTGTTGTGAACTAGGTGTTATCCTCATTCACCACAAAATACTTAAGTAACATACATTTCTAAGCTGGTTCAACAGACAGAAATTATGCATATTGACTTGGAAGATACTTCTTGAAGTGGTAGAAGTTTGGAACAAATTGAGTTTTTGAAAATAATAAAAGTTGCCAAACTTTTGGAACAACCCTCGTGTCTCTAAGTTATGGATTTTCTGAATGTCTGTAATGTTAAGCTTTGAGCAGATAGTGCCATCAGTAAACATGTGATGTTTTGTATAGACATGTGAGAGGGATCAACAGCACATTGACATATATGGCTTTGACTAAATTTTGCCACTTTAAGGTCTAATGTTTTTGGAAAATGAAATATGTTCAATATTGACATGTCATGTTCTGACCTATTAACAAGAATTTCCTTAGTGGCATGCCCTTTGATTCATTGCAGCCCTTCATATTTTTGGATATCATTAGCATTAGATATCTAGACTGACTTGAGCACATTAAGATGACAGAACTCATTTGCAACTGGCAGAGTACTTGGCTTCCTTGGAAAAAATTTGAGTAAGACCAGCTATGAAGCTGTGACATGCCTGGCTCCTGTCCATGCTGTTTAGTGACATCCTTTGGTTGGTAAACTCTTGAAAATAAATGTCTAAATCAAACACTAATATTGCTGTATAAAAAGATTCCATGAAGGAATTTAGGATTGTGCATGCAATTACATTTCATCAGGAACTGTACTTTATCTACATTGCTTTTTTTCATAAGCTGCTGGGGTTCTTTTCTCTTTTCTTAGATAGAATCTAGGAGCTGTGATTATTGTTACAGCCAACCCCTTGTTATACCACCACTCACACCACTCAGTGTAGCATCACCCTCATTTATTGCCAACTCCTTCATGTGGACTCCCAAATGCTTATAATAGGGAATTTGGTTTTAGTTTGATATAGTGTCAACAATGAGTCTATGACAAGGTTCTAGGGAGACTGCAAACTATGCCAAGACCAAAAATAAATAATGGACATATGAAAAAATAAAATGAAACGAGTAATGTACATTTCAGGCAAATGTTAATAAGTTGTCTTCAAAGTTATTCACACTATATATAGAATTTAAAAATTACATAATGGTGAAGAGGGTCCATGCAGTTCACCCTGTTTCAGAAAGAGGCCTCAAGATTAAGAACACTGAAATAGTGCCACCCTTGTTTTAGCACCAAAATCAGCTATGACCAACAATGGTATTACATGGAGGGTTGACAGTATACTAACCCTTTTGCTGCAGTGCTTTAAAAAGTGTTGTGCCCTCACCAGTGCTGAGTTTTTTCATGGTGCACTGTTGCTTGTTTTTAGTATTTGTTAGAGTTTAGCAAAATCTTAAATTCAATCTAGTCACCAACAATTTTTTTTTTTCATCCATACAAAAAATTTTTTTGAGCACAAAGAGAGGTATTCACTGTTCTTCACTTTTTATAAATACTTAATCTCATGGTATTCTCAGAAGCATGGTACAACTCAAAGTGCGACCCTGCATTAGACATGCAAAGGCAGACTGAGCAGGCTACAGTTGCTTTATTGGAGCTACAACCTCTTCAGTGTCTGAATTTTCATCTGACTTTCTAATAGCTTTTTTATTGCCTTCCTTGTAGTCTTCATCTTCTTCATCAGAACTCTCATGGCACAATTCCTCATCAATAATGAAATATTCCACTTCTGAAATGCTGGAGTTCTTTTCCACTTTGCCATGGCCTGCCACATGCTTAAGTTGCAGTATGCTTTCTCAGATATAAAGTTGTATTTTGACATTTCCACACAGCCTAGTGAAAATAAATCCAAGAACCAGCAGCCTAAAGCTGCAGCAACTATGTCCCATGTTGTTGGAGCTTTTCTAGAATAGTCAACAGCTGCATTGTGTGGATCTAAATGCCAAACAGTCAACAAGACTCAACAGGTGCACTGCAGGTCTTTTGGGGTACCACCGAGCATACTCAACCGTAGCAGAAAAGGGTTAATTTCTCTACTTACAATGAGACAGCTTAAACTCTAAAGACCTTGTCATTACTAAACTTGTTGCTCAAGTTGATATTTCCATCCCAGCAACTTGCTGAGTTGAGGGAGTCCCTCTGACAAGGCAAGGTACTTAACAATGGTCATGTGACTTTTATATATGCCCACCTCTACCCTTAAAAGTATTTCTTTTACTTCGGAGGACAATGTAAGATTGGAAAATGAATTAGTCTTAATTCAGGACTATTAACATCCATGTAAATTTTTATATTGTAGGGACAAACATCTTCACTCCTGAGTCAGTGGATGCAGCTGCAGGGGTGATGTGGAACAACATGTCAGAAGCTGTTCGTAAAGATTATGGGAAGGAATATTTTGACTCAAGGGTGAAAAAGATGCACAGTTACATAACAGGTGGTGTTCCAGACTTCCGTCCAGTTCTCAATGCTCTTGATGATGCTCTGTTCAGCAAAAATCCAAGACCTCGGTACCTGCCAGCAAATTTGTATTACACGCTTCGTGTTCTTGCAGCCACCCATTTGCCAGAGAGCATTTATGAGCGTTTTTATAAAGACATTCAATGATGCTGTTTTGTTGTTTAGCCTCTCCCATGTATCTGGCTCAGTTATGACTGGAAGTAATTTTGGGGAATGCAGCTCTCCTAAATATTTCATTCTTCAGAAGTTAATTGCCTTTTTTCTTGTTCAACCTCCAGTCGTTACTCATTGAATGCATGAAGCAAGTCCAAACTTGCTCATTGACAGCAGAAAACATGAGGAAATTTCAAATTTGAGGGCTGCACAATGGAGGTGTACTGTAGTCATTTTGTAATGCTTTAGTAATGGTACAAACAGCAGGGATATATGAATGCTCAATTTGTAAAGAGAAGGAAGTTCCCTATTATGATAGTGTGCAATATTGAAGCCAATGTGCTTACTTGTTTTTAGCCTGTGTGGCATAGTTTGTTGTCTTTCTCAAATTATCATTGAATGTCTTTCTTTGCAGGCATAGTACAAGTAGTTGTATATGCATATCACCTAAAGTGTTTCTCACCATTCCTAACGTCAGGTTTTTCTGATACGCTTGAAGGGAAAACTTTACGTGATTAGGGAAAGTTAGGTACTGAGTTACTGTGACCCAAATTGATGGGAAGCTGCTTTCAATTTTTCTCTGCTGATGTATTTTCAGGATAGCTAGGTCCTTTGAAGTCCATTGTGCCTTTGTGAACACTTTGTTATTTTTTCAGCTTGTTCAGAATGTTAGCTCCAGATTTTCCATATGGTATAGGCATGATTGATCTGTACCTAATATAATGTTCAGCTCAGGGTTACACGGTACAGGAATAGGTAAATTCCCACTTCACTCTATTTCCATTGAGTTGAACCAAAGACCATCATTCATTGGCACCTACCGATAAGTTTCAGTGTCTTCTTGAAAGCTTGTTCCCAGTTTTCCCAGTTTTCAGTATACTAAATTTCAACATACCTTTTAATTCAACTATGGTGGTCAATGTGTTAAGAAAGATTATCTCCAAAAATAAATTTTTTGGGAATTTTGGGAAAGACTTGAGTCGTGTTGCAGATAAATCTTTCCAGATGGTGACTTCCTTTTTGAAGTGTTTGTTAGTACCTGCTTTTATGGATTTTGACTTTAGACAGTTCTTTTCTGAATGGTGCATATTTTTTGTTCCTAGTTGAAATAAAGTGTTTAAATCTGAGTGGAGCCAAATTTAAAAAAAAAACCAATCTGATCAGAGTTGGGATTATTTGGAATAATTTCTCTAAAACAAGGAAACAAAACTTGGGAGCAAAAGAATTGCTTGAAAAGATGCAAGGCATTCAAAGGCATGCAATGCCATTCTTGGAAGGCTATTTTTATGAGACATCACATTTCCCTCTTGTGGCAGTGATGAGGGGATTTCAGAGAAACACTAATGCAAAAACGGATGAATTTCACTTCATGGAGAGGAATCTAGGTGGCTTTTCTACACATGTCTTCCAGTACTTCAAAAGGTTACTGTCCTCAGGAAATCAGCATTAAAGCATAATGAAGTCTGCTCTTAGGAATTTGCAGAGCCTTTTGAAAATGTAATAGATGGCACTATTGTATACAGGGTGTTAAGAAAGTTGTGTCCCATCACAATATGCCTATAATCTCAGCAAAAATTTAAAAATTAAAATTTTTTTTAGACACAATAACAAGGACAGTTAACTGATTTAGAATCACTTAATACTTTTCAATATAGCCGCCCTTGGCACGGATGACACGGTTCAGACAACCCATGAAAGCATCGACTGATTTTCGCAAGACTTGCTGTGGAATTCGCTCCCATTCTCGATTCAGGGATAGCTTGAGAGAATCCAAAGAACAGTGCTTTGTGGCACACACTTGCTCTCCAGGATGGACCAAATTGAAAAATTTAGGGGGTTGACATCGGGGGAGAAAAGGGGCCATTGTGAAGTGGAAATGAGGCTGGGAACATTTGTCCGCAGTCACTCCTGGGTCATTCGCGCCTTTTGAGCTGGCACAGTCCTGCTGGAAGATCCAGCTGCCTCCATCGAAATATTTCGTGATCCACGGAACCAGGCAGTCTTCCAGGATGCTTTTCCTGTATACTTTAGCGTTGACCTTCATCTTCTTAGGCACGAAAACGAGCGGAGTGCGTCCAGAAGCAGTAATCCCAGCCCAAACCATTATAGAAACCGCCCCTTGACGCCGAATGGCTTGAAAAAAAAATCATATTTAGATTTTTCAATTTGGTCCATCTTGGAGAGCAACGTATGAGCTACAAAACACCGTTCTTTGGATTCTCTCAAGTTATTCCTGAACCGAGAATGGGGGGCGAATTCCACAGGAAGTCTTGCGAAAATCAGTCGATGGTTTCATGGGTCGTCTGAACCTTGTCATACTGCCAAGGGCGGCTATATTGAAAAATATTAAGTGATTCTAAACCAGTTAGCTGTCCTTTTTATTGTGTATTTTAAAAATTTCCTGTTTCTTTTTTAAATTTTTGCTGAGGCATATTGCGATGGGACACAACTTTCTTAACACTCTGTATACAGATGAAAGGATGACACGTATATTAACCATTCATGCCATCTATCTTACATTCTTTTAAGAGCTGTGCATGAATAGATTCTGAATTTCATGAATAGATTCCTTGGCATAGTCAATATCTTTAAATTTGTTTGCTGACCTAATTCTGAAAGTCATGCATATGATTTTCAGATTCGCTCACTCACCTTTGGCAGTGTCTTAATTATAGACGGTACTGATGGGGCAAAACGGGGCGGAATAGGGGCTCTTTATTCTCTGACTGGAATATCCATTACAATGGTGAGGCTCAGGCTGACGTGATGTGTTCAGATTCTTTCTCTCGCTCAAAACCCAGTGAAAGTTGTGGTGGTCGCTGGAATTCGGCTCATGACAGCTGAGTAGGCATCGATGACGACACGGATGAGGACGTGTTTTTCTCTGACTTCTGTAAATTTGCATTTATGAGGAATACAGGGGGGGTCTATGAAAAGTTCTAAGCCAGAGGCACTTCCGATTGCAATGCACCCATCTTATTTTCCTTATGATGTATTTGATGGTGCCACTCTCCAGTCACCATCAAATACATCATAAGAAAAATAAGAGGAAAAGTGCCTCGGGCTTAGAACTTTTCATACACCCCTCGATCTAACAAACAAATATTTGAAACAGCATTAGTTTTGCCTTAAAAGTTTCTTTGCCGTTTCCGTTAGTAAATAAAAATTAAAATATAATGAAAATATGGGAAAACATGAGAAAAAAACGGTTCATTTGTTGATGTTTCATTGCTTTTTCTGTTCTTTGAACTTTGTTAGTAAGAATGAAGACATAAGGAAACGAGAGAAATAATCTGTTTTGTAATTTGTAGACGTTTCGTTGCATTCTGTTTTGTGAACTTTGTAAATAGGCATAAAATGAAGACACGGGAAAACACGTGGAAAATAATTAGTTTGCTATTTGTAGGTATTTAATTGATGTTTCTGTTCTGTGACCTATTTAAATATGTACAGGGTGGTCCACAATTATCTCCCCAAAAGTAAAAGCTTATTACTCAGGAAGTATACATCTGATTTCAATCATATGACTCAAACGATTCAATTCAATATATTTTCATTGTAGAAAATTTCTGCATTCTATACCACGCCATTGGTATCGTTTCAAAGGTCTCTCCATTTCCTTTCAAATTATGTCATTTAAGGACCTTCAATAAGAAATTAAGGTCAAAGATCTGACCTTTGACCTTTAATTACAGAAAAAATGTCATTTTTATTTTCTTCGAAAAATTACCCTTACTATTGTCAATTCTTTCTGCCTAAGTGCTCAAATTTTCACATTGGGACTGCCATGGGATCAGGAGATACAAACAGTAGAGAGTACATGAAAATACCCGTGACTGTTAACTGACAACAATTCGTTAAAAAAAAAACATAAATCAAACTAAAACTGGAAAAAGTTGAAGGAAACCTCGTTATTCATGATTGAAGCTTTCCAGTTGCAAGATCATTATAACAAGAGAAAGTCACTGTCCTTGCGAGGACAGTGACTTTCTCTTATTTTGAAACAGATAAGAAGGAATACGCTTTGGTGGCAACTTTTTCTTCGTCTATGGAATGAAAGAATGAAGAATGAATGTTCCAGGAGTCGTGGATGATTGCACAAATCTTTTTATATTAGCCTCTCTTCTTCCAAGCTGCAATGATTGGGATATTCTCAGTTGTCAATTGGAACAGTTGGTAAAGCGTCATTATCTGTTGGTTGTATGGTCGTTGGAGACTGGCATTTGAAGCCAACCTCCATACTGTTCCTTCAACTTCAAGTTCAGGAAGTCAGGATGCGCCGAACTCGTTTGTTTTCCCAATTTTCCAACTTCTTGGAAGTACTGTCAGGACTTGTACCTTTTCACTTCTCTCTGTGGACGCTCGGAATTTTTCTTTCAATTGGCTAATGATTTCATTTCCTGTTATCACCTCCGTCATCTTATTCTACATTAAGTTCCTCTTCAGAGTATCCCCAATCTTCTTCAACTTTCCCGGATATTTGGCTTGTGTAAGCTTATGATAATAAGAGACTCTCCAATCGAATGCAAACTTTGATGAATTCTAGCGGCCTGTTTTGCTCATAGGAGACATCATCAACCACGTTAGTATGGCTCCTTGGACTAGGCTCTTATTGACTTGACATGGATGGTCGTGGTTCTAAACTCAGTTCCTGATAACACCGATATTCGGGATACGAGACCTGTTCACGCCTGATTTGAACACTTTTCAATTCGCAAGAAATCCTTCATTTATTTTTGTACAATGCCTTGCAATGCTCGATAGGCTTGCCTTGGTTTTTGTACACAGCTCGGCACCGGTATTTCCATTGGAGAAAGGCTCGTCGGATCACGGAGAGAGGAAGTTTCTTGCATTCCTCCTTGCAAGCTATAGACCAGCCACAGACACCCTACGACGAGCGAGGCGCTGCTTGAGGACTCCAAACCCGCAGAAATCCATCGAAGCACAGTCAGATGACTTCAAAGGGATATGAGAGGGAGGAATGGTGGCGATTCCGGTTTCTTTCTCCAATCTTCCCAGGAAATCCACAGTCGATTTAGAGAAGTGACTGCTGGCCTTGTCTTGGTGGAACTTTACTTGGTTAGATGCTTTCCCGTACAAGCGAGGAATTTCTTTTTTCAAACATGGGCCTCAGTACTTGTTCTTGATAGTATTTGGAATTGATTTTGACCTTTTTGGATCTCCGAAACTGGATCTCCGAAAGATTGACATCTTTCGGAGATCCAGTTTGCTTCTGTAGCTCACAGCAGCGACGATCATGAATCCAGAAACTCTCTGCCCTCTCTCGGTAAAGAGGTTCGACGGCCACTGCTGACTTTGTTGATAGTTGATAGTGTCTTGCTCGTGTCATCAGAGAGATGAGAAGGTGATTCATCCAGAGTGACGACATTTTTGTATTTTTCGCCAAACAAGTACTTCTCATAGAGCCGCCGACAATGAGTCTTTCTTTCGCGGATGTGTCTGGGGAGAAGCTTGTGCACTTTCCGTTTTCTGCGGGTTGCAAGGCACAGATCTTCATGGATTTTTCGGTTGACGCATCCAAGGCTTTTTCCAAGCTTCTTCGCCACCGCTCTTTGGGACTTTGGATTTTCACCAATGACCATATCACGGACTTTCTTGACTTAGTCCTCACAGACTTAGGCTGTTTTTTGACTGAGTCAGGATAGCCAAGATGAGCTGCCAACCGCTTTTCACTTTACGTTGGATATTGATCCGACTGAAACATGCCATCCGCGATTTTTACATTTCTTCTGAATCACCCTGTAGGAGTTTCCCTCCATGGAAAGGGTTCGTATGACTGTTTCGACTTCTTTCGCCAGTGGTTTCATTGCGAATTGAATTTTCTCACAAAGAGACTTGAAAACAACTTGCCAAGAAGTAGGTTCAACAATGGAGCAAGGTAGTTTGTATCAGCTCTTTTTGATTAAAACTAGAGGATCTGACTTATCTTGTGTTACTTGGGTTGTTTCATCTGATGGTAAGGATGCTGTTACAGGGGGAGGAAAAGTGTTAAAATCAGGCGCGAACAGGCCTCGTATTTTCTTCCTGCAATCATCGCATATCTTGACTCCAAGTCGAAGAGTAGGGAGTTTGTTGCACATACATGACAAGACCTCAAATTCAATTA